GACAAAACAAAAACAAAAACTTACCCATTGTCTGAATTGTTTTGTATCTGTAGTCAAATTCATCTTGCAGGTCCTCTAAGTATTTGGTGTCTTGCTCTGTTATCTTTACATAAAAGAAAATACACCAAGTGAAAAGAAAATCTCAACGCATGTGGAAAGATTTAAGCACGCCAGTGAAATAACATCGCAAGCATCTTTGGTAACACTGTCCGGTGCTTCTGACAGCATCCAGAGACCACAAGGAGCCTACTTTTCTGCTAATTTACAAACCAGTTGGTTAATGCTGGAAGAGGCTGAACTTGCTCTGCCAGCTTTTTTTTTTTTTTTTTTTTTCTTTCTTTCTGCTATTTGGAAACCCTTTGGCCTCTTATCTCTCATTTCTCAGTTACTCCAAGTGATGCCACACTCAATGTTTTTAAACTGGAAAAAAGAAGGGCTTTCACCCTTTCACAGGTCTTGAGTAGTTCCGCTTAACTCCTTAGTGTGCCAGTGGTCCCCTCCTGCCTAAAGCTCCACTCAGCGTGCTGCGGTAGCTAGGACAATTCAGTCCCGGCCTTTTCTCCTCCTGTGCGTATGAAGTACCTGTGCTTTCTCCCCTCTGCTCTGTGTGCTTTGCTCTTCCTCCAAGCCTGCTCTGTCTTAATGGTGATTAGATGCCAAGACCTGGGAAAAGGGCCTTTCACTCAGCCTCGCTACGCGTGGTGTGGGTCCTGCTCACTTTTGCAGGGCAGGCAGCAGCAGAGGGCGAAGGTATGAAAGGACTTGCTGCCCTGGTCACATGTAGCTTCTCGGGGAGGAGCCGGGGTGGGCCAGGCAGGCTGAGTCTGACCCCCTACCCCTAACCAAGGCTGGACTCACTGCTTCTGAGATCCCACACTAAACACTGTCCCCTTTTTCATAGAAAGTGGGACTTTCCACTGTGTACTTGTTCCCACAGGTCCTAAGAAATCATGCCTCTACCCTTAGCGGATCTTTCTCCATAAGTTCCAATTTTTAGTCAGCTAAATTACTTGTAAGAAAACCATCAAAATTGAGTCAGAGTTTGCATCGCTACACTATGACTTACGAAGCTAATGAACTGGCAAAAATTTCTTTGTGTTTCAGCCTCTTTGCCCATAAAATGGGGTGCAATGGGGGGTGGAGGAAGAAGGGAGGGGGATGCGAGGTCACGGGGCACAAGCTGCTTGGAATAGCATCTGGGGCCGGGGCCGCACGTCAGCTATGACCTTTTTCCTCCCTATTTGTTACCTTTCTCTCTGTAAAATGACTTTTTCTCTTTTTTATGTATTTGGTGCAAGGTCTCGCTGTGCAGCTTGGACTTGTAGTGATCTGTCTCAGCCTCCCAAGCACTGAGATTACAGGCGTGCACCACCATGCTCTGGCTCGGTGGCTGGCTCAGTGTGCTGGGGTGTGTGTGTGTGTGCGTGCCAGGGATCGAACCCCGGTCCCTGCGCTTGTCTAAGCAGGCGCTTAGTCCGCTGATCTATCTTTCCGGCCCTAAGATGACTTTCTTGACATTTATAAACCTTAGAAGAGAAGCAAAGCAGGAGCTGGTGGCTGCCACTGTGCTGTCCACAGAGTAAGAGAAGCTATGAATGTTGTGGCAACTTTCGCCAAGCCCGAGCGGTCCCCACCAGCCTTTCCACAACCCGCAAAGTGAATTGTTTCCAAGGGAGGATGTGGAGGCTTGTGCACAGAGTGACAAATACTCAGGCCAGAAGCCCCATCCTGGCCACGTTAGCACTCAGAGCTGCGCTTGTTCCTCTCACTGTACTGGATTATCGCTTGCTGTGCTGTACTTCACTTTAATGTTCAATTTCTGAAGAGCCAAGATTGTGGATGGCTATCGACTACCGAAACCCATGCAGGAGACAAGGTGAAAAATTAAAATGTGAGGCCCCGTGCTGTGATGTGCACGTTACTTAGAAGCTGAAAGAAGAGAACATTGTGCAGGATCTTCTAACAAGGGTACAATAAGATGAATGAAAGTGCATTACAGGCTAACTAGGAAAAGTCAGTGCCGAAGTAATTACAGCGCTCTCAGGCATTGCCAGCAGTGGCTGCCACTGTGACAACGTCAGCAATGACCCCAAAAGCCCTCCTGCTGGCCCCAGAGGATGGCAGGAGCAACGCACCCCTAAACCTTCCTCAGAGACTGAGGTTAGGCATTAGGGAAAGTGCCTGCCTGCGGG